ATTTGAGAAGTTTGAATTAAAGATCAAATTTTAATTCTTAACTAGAATAAATCTACATGATGAAAAAATTACGCGAATTACTAGGAAAGTAATATTAACATGTGTATGATCATACCAAGACGACTCCGCATAAGTAGGGAACATCCTTGAAAGTCATTTAGGTATAAAATATTACACACATATACACTAAAGTATCATTTTAATTTGAACACAATGATCACAGCATTCTGAATCTTAATACCCGTATAAGAATAAGTTTGTTCTTGTTTCAGGTCTTCCATATATTCGACTGATCCCAAAGGTAACTGCCGTTGCTGGTGAAACTCTCCGCCTAAAATGTCCCGTCGCTGGTTACCCTATTGAGGAGATCAAGTGGGAACGAGCGAACCGCGAGCTGCCCGACGACCTGCGACAGAAAGTCCTACAAGACGGAACCCTCGTCATCTCCAGCGTGCAGAAGAAGACCGACGCCGGTGTATACACGTGTTCAGCAAGAAACAAGCAAGGACACAGCGCTAGGAGATCAGGAGACGTCGCAGTGATCGGTAAGGTTTCGCGTCCAATTCGCTATTCTACGATTGTTGCAGGTGTGTCGAAGCCGATACCAGACGATACCAAGGCTTAACCGTGATCTCGTGAGCAAAGACGAAGGAAAAAACTAGTGCGCGCGAGGATCATTACTTTAAAAAATGAACAAGAAAAGCAATGATATCCTCGAATACGATGATAAGAACGAAAGAAAGACAAAAAATAGCCAATTGCCCGTAGGATACCAACGATAAACGGATGGGTTCACAGATGCGATGCATTTAAACTTCGTCTATGCTTCGCGAGCTCATAAGTGGTCGTTATTGTTATTATTCCAGTTCCTCCCAAAATTAGCCCATTCACGGAAGATCGTGATGTAAACGTCGGCGAACGAATCACATTGACGTGCTCAGTAACGAGGGGCGATCTGCCGCTCACGATTTCCTGGCTCAAGAATGGACGATCGATGGGACCATCGGAACGCGTCACGGTCACCAATATGGACCAGTACAATAGCATACTGATGATTGAAAGTTTATCTCCAGATCACAATGGCAACTACTCGTGCGTGGCCCGTAATCTGGCCGCAGAGGTATCACGCACGCAGCGACTTGTGGTTCATGGTAATCCTCCTCTAGGCCCCCTTCACTTTTGCCTGACGACCGCCTGACCGCCCGAAAAATCCGTAAGAGTGACTCGTATGAATGCGTACATACGGTTCGCCCACACTCGCGAATGAATCGCGTGAGGATCTTAAAGCGCTGTTATTAATTATTCTTATTATCCCTCGTTGGTGACGACTAAACGTATACAAACTGACGGAGTCGTTATTCTCGCACACATGTATCTTCGTCTTTGCTTTCTCTGGAAAGATCTCGATGTGCTGTCTCACCGCTGTAAATAGCTTTAAACGTGAAACGATGAAGATGTGTGATCCTCTCAGCCCATCGGGTTCTTGCGCGTTCATTCGGGAAAGAGTGTCTCTCTTCTTTTACCATCTTCATGAAAGCCACCGATGTCATCTAGGAACGTAGAGACCTGACGACTCGCGTACACTCGATGACGGCTCGCGCTTAGCGTGGCTCCTCTCTACTTGCACGAGACCTGCCACTACTTCATGTCCACGTTTCTTCCCTTCTTTCCTGTTTCGACCGTTCGAGAAAGTCCACCGTGTTTTTCAAATGTAGTATATGGCTTACTTGCGAGTTTGAGCGAACTTCTTTGCGAAATAAATTGCTTGCGAAAATAAATTTTCGAACGGTCGACGAATGCTGGCTCTTGCGCTGGGAGCAACCGTAAGACGAGTGAGTGTGCAATGCCAATTTAAGTGTATAAGGTGTTTTTAGGGCGGCAGGGGCAGGTCCGCGGCGGGGCCACCCTCTCTCTCCTCTACATTGCTACGTTACTATACTGCCTCTATTGTACATATTCTACGTATATATATATACATATTATATTCTATATATATATCCATACATATACATGGACGTACTACTGTCTATATATATAATATAAACATACGGCTACTTATACGAAAGAGACCCGTATATATATATTTATACATATATACATATATATATAATGAACACATGTATATCACCTGGTACAAAGAAAAATGGGTTCTTGCGTTTTTTTTGGTGCCATCTTTTTCTCGCTCTCACGTATGGTTCTCTCTTCTCTCTTGACCTTTTCCAGTACCCCCTATTATTGAGCCATTTACGTTCCAAGAGGGACTATCCGAGGGGATGCGGACGCGGACGGTGTGCGGGGTCGCGGCGGGTGATCCACCCCTGACAATATCCTGGTTGAAAGACGGCCAAAATCCTTTTCCCTTGCCGCCGAATCTCGCATCCGTCCTAAACATCTCCCAACTGGATCCGTACTCGAGTCTCCTCAGTATATCGAACCTCGCGGCCGAGCACTCCGGCGACTATACCTGCGTCGCCGCGAACCCCGCCGCCGAGGTCAGGTACACGGCCAAGCTACAGGTAAAAGGTAACTAGATGATCGGCGACCCTTTTCCATCATCATCCCTCAGCCATCTACCACCTGCCATCATAAGCGTCATCGATCTCGACGGAAACGTATACTCTTTTTACACTTGCGACATTCCTTACTCGAAATTCGATGCAGTTAACCGAGAAGAAAAATATTAACGGGTGTATCATCGTTTTATTTGCCTTAACTGATTTTAGATCAATAACTAGGCTTTAGCTGGAGTTTGTTTCTAGTAGATTTTTTTGTAGTTCTATATTCTTAGAATTTAGTAAACGATTGAGTACGATTTGTAATCGAGTAATTTTTAGTAATCAGATTCAGTAATTCTTGTTATAACTTTTACTGCAAAATTTCTATTGTTAGAATTTAATACGTTTATAGAATTCATGTTTATTCTCAATACATCATTAAGACAGAGATCAGTTTATTAGATATTTTTTTATAACTATCTAAAGAATTCGAAATTTAATAAAGAATTTTAAGAAGATATATTTTGCGTTAAAAATATCGTCGAGGTCGAGATAAACCTTGAACGTTCCGATCCAATTTGTCCAGCCAAATCTGTCATGACCATTTCCCTCCTAATCGTGATATTAACATCCATAAAATCACGTCATAACGCTTTAATAAGTCGGCTCCAGCGTAACCATCGTTAATCATCGTAGTGTTCTCGCACGGATTGAAAATGAAAGCTATTAAAACGAACTTTACTTGATTGCTACGTATAGGAACACGAAATTATTTATTACGCCTGTCTATTCAAGAGATCGAGTCTGTTCGTAGCGAGATCACGCACGTATCATCATCGAAACCTTAAAAATCATCGAGACCCCTCCCAACGTCCGAAAGAATCCTTGGTCCCTTAAGACACAGTGTGTATTACATTTACGTTGCTTTGGCTCTCTGGGAATGCGTCGGTATCTCGTGGACCCCCGAGGTTTGCTTGACTTGACCGAATAATAAAGGTAACAGTTTGCACCTTTCCTTATTTTTACTCGTTTCTTTAAAACGGAGCAACCAACCGACCAAGCAAAACAAAAAAAGATTGAACATGAAAAATGAAATTCTCTTCTGGCCTGCGTGCGTGCGTGTATGTGAGCATCATACACACTACAATCTGCATGCTCTTCTTTACTACGAAGTAGTTGTGATTTTTTATGTCTGCATATAACTATATATACCCTACTACGTGTCTGTGTACATATATATTATTGTTACTTCTACATATATATATTTTAAATGTTACTTGATCACCCGAGTACGAGCACGTGCCACTCTGCTCACAAACAGAAAGAAAATGATATTCTTCACAGAAACCTATGCGCTGGCTCCTCCTTTGGGCTCGTTGGAAGGCAACCTTTTTTTATTACACTTCTGCATGCTTTTCTCACTGTCTTTTCTCTACCTTTCTCTTTCTATCTGTTACGCTCTTTTTTATCTTTCCCTCGCGATCGCGAAACGCACGGGGCACGAGTGCGATGAACTCTTTCCATTCGGAAAAATCGAACTCGCGTATGTAAACGGAAAACGCGAAACAGCCGAAGAACCCATATACAGTGATATCTAAATGCGCGCGTCCGTCGGCATGTAAAAATGTAACATGGAGAGATCCAATTTCGAAAGTGGAACACGCGCCCCGTGGTTTCCGGACGGCGAGCTATCCGGTAATGTAGGCTAGTAGTACGTATTTATGATTAATTAAACTCGTATTTATCGAACTAGTCGTTAGAAGCGGGTACTTGATATATATCTATATATACATATATATATTATTATTCGCCTATCCACGATATTATATTATATATCTTTCGGTCTTCCGCCAGACATGCTCTCATCCAAAAATATGAACCTCACACATCCCGCCCAATTGCGCCTCTTTCTTCTTCCGAGAGTTCTACTTATTTCACGCCACCAGTTGAACGAGTATATCTATACTATATCTATATATTTGACACACGATATAATACACACACATTTTTAAATACACTTGGATCTACATTCGTATATATATATATCTATATATATTATATTGTCGCACGCGTTAATGCGTGGCCGGTATTTTGCCGTCTTGTAAAACGTTGGAACTTCCTACTCACAGTATCTCGCTTATGCAGCGTTTTTCCACCACCGTAAAAAGTAGAACCCGCCAAACAATATACACCACTGATAAGACAGAAAAACCCTTCAAACTCTCGACGCGTCGATGCGCGACGTCAACGCAACGCGACGGACTACCTACAGCCTCGCGAGCTCTCGTTTCCGGTGTTTGTCGCAATTTTAGACGATGCATAACATAATTTAGTGGCGATAACGTTTCCAGCCGTAGGCTAGCTAGACGTTATACAGAGTCTCGATTAGACAGCTTTGCACTGTGTACGTACCTCTTATTAATTTCTTTTGTTTCTTTCGTAATATCCTTTCGTCTATCTCCTTTTTGGGCTACGTGTATGTACTTACGTTTATGATTGTATCGATCGAACCGCTTACCGTTATTGGTGATCCTATACAAGTAGAAACAGAGAACGAGTCCGTCGATTTTTTCTTTACTTTCTGTTTAGTCCGAACGATCTACAGAATTAGTCGAACTGGCATGAACGTCACGCATCGACTAGAAATATACCCCCATACGTCCATACTGTACCTCGCCCACGTACCCTCATTCACTTTGTCTCAATGTCTTTGTCACTTGTTCATTACGTAAACTAAAACCATTCTCCACCATTTCTTACAGAACTTGAAACTTATCAAAATTTCTCTCGCGACTATAAATTCTAACGCGATTTTTCAAATCAATTTCTTGGATGAAATCTCGATTTCAAACAATGAAAAAGGAACGATTGTTACTCGTCGACGACAGGCGCCGTCGTTTTTTATATTTATATATATCTCTTCTCTTCATACTTTCACTATTGTACAGTGTATATCTCTTTTACCTTGTACATACATTTTGTCTGCGACTATGGAGCGTCACGGCGTCGACGAGCTCGTCCTTGTTTGACCGCGCTTTTCACGACTTCTCTTACGACGTACCTGTCTCTAAATCGCTAACGACCAGTAAAAAAATAACGACATGTGGAAGCAAGATGACGGGTAAATCTAAAACTGTACGCTCTGGTTTTCAGTGCCTCCGCGATGGATCGTGGAGCCTATGGACGTCAGCGTTGAGAGAAACAAGCACGTTGCTTTGCATTGTCAAGCACAAGGTGTGCCTACCCCAATCATCGTTTGGAAAAAGGCTACAGGTAAAAAACCGTAATTGAACCGTTTTAAATCTTTACCCTTAAACCGCTGTTCATGGGCAAAAAGTGAAATATATGATACATACAGAATGGTACGCATAAAGTATTACAAGCTGTTTTCTCTGAAACCATTGGATATATTTATGCGGACCACTCTGTATGTATAATATTTCGTTTTGTAAAATCAAATTCTATGGTTATTTGTATATTTGTGCTTTGTATCTGACAGTGCGTCGTTATCTCGACAAAACAGGTAGCAAATCCGGTGAATACGAGGAGTTGCGAGAGAGAGCGTACACGAAAATCCTAAGTAATGGTACGCTGTTATTGCAACACGTGAAAGAAGATAGAGAAGGATTTTATTTGTGTCAAGCGAGCAACGGTATTGGGAGCGGTATTGGCAAAGTTGTACAACTGAAGGTAAACTGTAAGTATCTCATTGAGCGCAAAGGCTTTTTAACAACGTTATTATTATTATTTTTTTCATTTATGTACGTAAAATTTTTTATTTCGTTCTTCTTCGATAGCGTCTCCGTATTTCGCGGCACCATCGAGACTTGTCACTGTGAAGAAGTCAGACACAGCGACGTTGCATTGCGAGGTGCATGGCGACACACCAGTCACCGTCGCTTGGCTTAAAGGAAAAATCGAGTTAAATCCCTCGACGAACTATCGGTAAAATTAAGTGCACCTTAAATACTATCGATCGACACTCTAATATTGAACGCAACTACATTTTTTTATTCTATATTTGATCTTACGATTGAGATAGCATTACTTATATTCCATCGCATTTTCTCATCTGATCATAAATATCTAAATATGCTTAATCTTAATGTTACATTTTTTACAATCGTTTTGTGCGTACCAAGAGTTACAGTGAAACGTGAGGTAACACCGGACGGTGTGATAGCGCAGCTACAAATTTCTTCAGCCGAAGCGTCTGATAGCGGCGCGTACTTCTGTCAGGCGAGCAATCTTTATGGACGTGATCAACAATTAGTGCAACTCCTTGTACAAGGTATACATATCTCGCCGACAGTAATTACAGCGCTATTTATTACAAGAAAAAATGAATTATTCCATTTCGTTCAGAGCCACCGCAGCCGCCTAGTTCCTTAGAAACAGCCATGGTTTCAAGTCGAAGCATGAACGTCAAATGGCAGCATAAATCGCAAGATACCAGCGAGGTGACCAAGTACATTCTACAATATAAGGAAGGCGATGGTGAGAATATTAAGATAAAACAATAATACGATTAATTTTTTATCATTGCTTATTGATTGATTGTGGCGAAATAGCTGGCATGTGGCAACAACAAGAATTCACCGGTCCACCGCTACCATATGCGGCACTGATAGATGAATTAAAGCCGGCGACTAGATACACTATACGCGTGATAGCCGAGGGGCCAGCGGGTAGATCAGTGCCTTCGGCGGAATTGATTGTCAGAACTGAACCGCAAAGACCAGCAGGACCTCCGATTAATCTTTCAGCCAGGGCTCTGTCCTCCTCCGAAATTTTAATCACTTGGTCGCCGCCGTTACCGGAACTTCGCCACGGTGACATTCAGGGTTTCAATGTGGGATATAGAGAAACGAGGTGGGAACAGTGAAACCAGAATCGAATCACTCCTCTGTATTTTGGATTACGTTAAGAAAAATTATTCGGACATTTTTCAAAACGGAATAATAATTATTAATATTGGTCAAAGAACATAATTTTCTGTGGGGTGCTAGAAGACTTAGTTTATTATGTATTATGTAAAAAATTCCATAACAATTTTTAATGTTCGAAATCGCGAAGAAAAAACTAAACATCACGTTTTTAACTTTTTCATTGGGGTCTATAATGAAAATTTGAAACTTTCGGTTTGTGGATCTAAAAAATGATACCGTTTTTAAAAGTGACCGAATACTTTCAAGAGTCAGTGTACATTCATAATTTAAAATAAAAATTTCGAATTCGCATAATTTTATTTCCGTACACGTGCACAAGGTGTTTTTTATATTGTTATTTATTAATTCGAGATAAATTAATTACTTATATAAATCAGACTCGTTAATGCAAGTAGTTTGAAACGCGTCGATCCATTCAAGTTTCAAACTCTATTACCTTAGGAATTTTCTTTCAGCTCGGCAAATCCTTCATACAACTTTAGCTCCGTGTCCGGAGACGGAGAGGAAGGAGGTGCAGAACTTCGGCTAACAGGCCTTCGACCCTACACAAAGTACACTTTGGTGGTTCAAGCGTATAACCAAGTTGGATCTGGACCACTTTCCGAACCTTTGCTCACACAGACGCTGGAAGATGGTGAGAATCCGCGATAATGAATCACGTTAAATACCAGGTATATTAAATTTCGAAAAATATTTAATTATAATTAATTGCGTTAGTTCCAAGCATGCCACCCGAAGACGTAAGATGCGCTGCATTAACTTCGCAATCTCTTCAAGTATCCTGGCAGCCGCCACCAAATACGCATAGCAATGGTATTATTCAAGGGTACAAATTACATTACGAACCTATCTTGGCGGATGAGTGGCGCAGCGTCGATGAAATGGAAGTAAGAATCGTTTGCTTTTTTATTTAATGGACACGTTTATTTCGACTATACATAATTTTCAATTTGTTTTAGATTCGTAAAACCAGCGCCTTAACAACCGTGCTCACGGGCCTACGAAAATACACGAATTATACTATTCAAGTATTAGCTTTCACGAAAGTTGGGGATGGAATACCCACGACTGTTACATACTGCCAAACTGAAGAAGATGGTCAGATTTTTGAATCATTTAGATTAAACCCTAAAATCATTTCTGCGAACAAATTAAAATATAATGATTATTAAATTTTTTTTATAGTGCCAGGTAGTCCAGCAGATATCAAAGTTGTGGTCAGTTCACCACAGGCACTTTTCATCTCTTGGCTTCCACCTTTAGAACCAAATGGAATTATTAAAAAATATAATTTATACACAAGGTAAAAAAAAATTAATCTCGTAAAATTGTGCGTTAGGATTCATAAAATTTTGTGTCATGCAGAGTTGTAGACGGTCGAGAGGAACTTAATCACGGTAAAAGAACACTGCCAGCAACGAGTACCTATTTCGAAGCGACTGATTTACAACAACACGTAGAGTATCAATTTTGGGTGACTGCTAGCACCCACGTAGGCGAAGGTCAAAGTTCCAGAGTCGCCGCGCAGGTGCCAACGAATCGAGTACCGGCGAAAATCACGTCCTTTGGGGGTCACGTAGTGCGTCCATGGAGAGGATCCGCCAGCCTTGGTTGTAACGCTGTTGGCAATCCCACCAGAGAGTGGTATAAAGGATTGAGCGAACAAATTCGTACCGATACAACGAGAAACGTACAAATTTTGCCATCCGGCGAACTGGTATTGACGAATCTACAATCGCAAGACGGCGGAAATTATACGTGTCAGGTGGAGAACGTCCAGGGCAGCGACAAGTTGCATTATACTTTAACTGTGCAAGGTAAGTTTAATTTCTTATACATATAATACGTCAAAGAAATTTGTTCACTAAGGATATTTTTCATCTGATTCCAGTACAACCTAGTGCACCCGTTTTATATGTAACGAGCTCCACGTCGAGCAGTATATTGTTACATTGGAAACCTGGACACACCGGTGGTGCACCACTTACAGGATACACGTTGCACTATAGGACGACGCATGGTACCTTGGACGAATTACAATTATCTCGTCATGCCACGAGTCATGAATTAAAGGTACATACAATTCTTGACGATTTCCGACATTTAAGTGCATTAGAATTTACGATTTAATGGTTTGTTACTTTCTGACATACATAGGGTCTTCTTTGTGGTAACACGTACCAACTCTATTTGACATCGCACAATAAAATTGGAAGCAGTCCACCGTCACCAGTCCTCTCAGTTCGAACTCAAGGACAGGCACCAGGTATACCGCCAGCAGCAGCTTTCCTCAGTCCGAACTCGACGACGTTGATTCTTCGACTTCACGTATGGCCGGACAACGCTTGCCCGATCCTCTACTTCGTGATTCAATACAGACCGATTAACGAATTTCATTGGACGCTGGTTTCTAATAACGTAAAGATGCAACGACGATTCGTTGTGACGAATTTACAGCCGAGCTCGGTTTATCAACTGAAAGTCGAAGCCCATAACGTAGCTGGCAGCAATCATGCGGAGTTTACTTTCGTGACGTTGACGAAGGAAGGCGGTAAGCTTGATATTAAGAATATTTACTGATAAATTTAGAACCGTTAGAGAGGAATAGTCAAATCAATTTGGTGGTAATATAATCATTGAAAGAATTATATCCAAAAGCACTGTGTTCCTGAAACCTTGCAGAACCTCCGCCTCCAGAATTGTCGAAACGCGGGATTGCCTCGGCTGTTCCGTTTTACGCGGACGTGAAAGTGATGCTCCCTCTGATCATAGCAACTGTTGCCTTAGTCGTCGCCGTAATCATGATAACTCTTCGCTGGCGAAGCAGTAAGTTGATCAATATCATCTCTCTTTAAATAGGCGCAGTATAAAGAAAATTCGGATCGTGGTTGTTGCGGAAATTGAACAATTTGTAAAAGAATTATTTATTTTCATTCGTACGTCAGGATATCTCGGAGATAGAATGCAGCGGCCAATGAAGGAGACTCAGGAGAATCAACAAAACGCGGAGACCCAACGGGAACGTTACTATGCGACGATTCACAAGGTGGCTTTGCAGCAGGCAACGAATACGGGCGGAGGGCCCGACAAGATTCCAGGTGAACCTTTGTTACGATACGGACGACAGCCAGGTTTGGTACTATAATTGTTGTCCAGGTAAAAAAAAAGTCGCACGCGTACCTCTGTTCAACCGGAAGTGGACAGAACCATGAAATAGTAATGGATCGCGGCTCATGAATAGAGCTGGATTATTTCACGGTATTTTCCTTGCAACATTGTAAACATTATCGTCTTCTTTTTTTCCTGGGACTCTTTACATAACTAGACTAGCGTTTCACTCGCCCACCATCATATCAGCATTGCATCCATCTCCCATTCTGTCTTTAGAAAGAATATTTCCTTTCGAGTGAATGAGGGACAGACTTCGTTAAGGGATTTTCAAACATGTTTTATACTTGATAATATAGTATAAAAAAAATCAGTCATTCATCTTCAGTAACTGAATACTGTATTAGTAACTTCATATTGAACTTGTAATGAAACAATAATTGATAAAATCTAATTCAAATAAAAATAGAACAGAAGCATTGCAGTAAATAGCTTTTGTTATATACTTCTAAAGACGTAAAATTTGAGGTAGAAAATTGCAGTGGAACATATCATTGCATACGGCATCGAAAATTGGTAGTCAACTAAACAATTCATTACGACGCGATTTGAAAGGTAGGCAATGCCTCTGGTGGGTTACAGAGACAGCGGAGGACATCTCGCCGTACGCTACGTTCCAGCTTTCGGAGGGTGGCGGGGGAAGCCTGGCAGGCTTGGGAGGGTTGGGCGGACTGGGAGGCGCGGCGGAAGCTTCAGCAGCCGGCCTCCACCCGAACAACACTCTTCTACACAGTTTCATGTATCACGAGCACGCAATGACCGAAGGCTGCGCCAGCCCTCCACCTGCCGCGACGGTAACTTTATATTCAAACAATTCAATTAAGATTGTTTACACATCCTCTAGTTTAGAATTTGCGACAATATTGCATTAATATAGCAATGTTGCATAATAAGCATGTACATACAATAATACGATCTAATAATATGTTTTTCAAGACACATAATGGTTTACAGAGCATGAAGAGCGTTTCGTCAAGGAGACGACAGCAGAGAAAGCAACACACTCCGGGCGACGTCGAGAGCGACGAGAGCGAATCTGACCCGGATCAACTGACGAGCTCTCGCACGGAGTCTTCGAACCAGCTGGACGCTGGCAAACTCAAGCACAGTACGTCTGACCTATTGTTTCTATTACTACTTAAGGAAGTAGACTCTTACAGCGGCGCGAAAAGACAGAATGTTAATGTTACCCACAAAATTGGCCAAAAATGTGGGTTTACGGGAATACACTTTTCGTTCTTTATATTAACTTTCGTCCTTCCAAAATGGTATCTGACGATCTGCAAATCTTCTTATATAAGTGTTCCGTAAACTCATATTTTGCATGTTTCTGCCACAGTTATTAATAAAACAGAGGAAAAAATGCGAAAATTTTTGCTGACAAATGTCAAAAAAGTCACGTGACTACCATAGCCCATTAAGGTCGTTCTGGCTGACACTTGTTTGAAACTTTGCAAATAAATAGTTAAAATTTGAAACTAACATATTTTTATGGAGTTCAGTAAATAAAGTTACAATGCTATAGTAAATTAAAAAAAAATTACCAAAACACTAATATCAAAGTTTTCAAATTTTATGCAATACTAACTAATTACTTTAGTACGAATAAAGCAATATAGTACAACAAAATCAAGAAGTATGCTATATTAAAAACACGTATAACTTTTTACGGAGATCGTACAGCCAGAACAACCTTAAAGATCGATAGACGCTTAACGAAAACGTTCCGTCCAGTTCGGGCCGTTTCCGATTTCATTTACCACGGTACGTCGAGCACTTCTTCGGACATTTCACCCATGTCAGAGCAGAAGTCACTTCCCCGAAGAGGACGATCTAGGTAAGTAAACTAATAAAAAAGAATGAACTTTTAATAGCTTTAATACTGAGTACAATCGTTTTATTTATAATTCATTCATATCACCATTTCGTCAGACAGACGCATTTTCGACAGAAGTGTTTTCGCACTTTATTTGATTATCTCGAAAGATAAAAAGAGATGACTTAATAAAGCTATTTGGAATTTTCTAATAATATACATATCCTACAATTAAACACTATGTACGATCGTAATCAAGAGACAAAGCATAAACTCATGATTAATCATATTTTCACCCATAATAAGTTCGTTTCTTTGGCTGTCTCGTAAGATGGCATGTTCCCAGCAGGAGTTCCCTACGCACACTGTTACCACCGATCTCGGTCGCGGAGACCACGTTTGTAGGTAATCAGGGGAACGTGGTACCTAGCAATGGCGAACGTACCGATCGACCGGAGCTCAGCGAGGCCGAATGCGACATCGACTCCTTGAAGAAGTTAAAACTCGGCCTGAGGAGCTCCCTGTGGTCAAGGCCAAGTACTCAAAATAATCCTTCCTCCGATTATTCCATCGCCGTTTAAATCTCCCCTACTTTCTTCCCCTGTGTGCCTCCCTTTAACTTTCCCGTAGGTCTAAATATCTACGTTCTTTCTCCATATGATCCCATTATGGTCCAAAAGAATTTAGGTAAAATAAAAAAGATCCTTTTATCTGGTGTCTCCCGTCGGATGTTTCGACGTGCGATTAGGTTTAAAAAGAGGAAAAATAAGAAATTGAACGGTAGAACGTGGTGGCGTGTAGATACACGCGTTCGTTTCCCTTCTTCTCTCTGTCGATTATAGATGAAGATTAAATTATATTCGTTGCTGAGAATCGGTAAATAAATCGCTCATAGATAACGGGGAGAATTAAGGTACGAAATAATAGTAATTATCATCGTTTAATTCCCGATTTCTCTATAATAATTAATTTATTTGTTACCAATTTTACAAAACCACTCGTTTAATGCGAACATTGATTGTTATCATGATCTAACTTAATCATAGATCATTAGAAGTCTACACAAATGGAACTCAAGTACATTACGATATTACCTTTCTCTTCTTTATCTATGACGCAACAACATATTGTATCCCTGCGTGCGTATACGTGACGTGTGTGAATGACCAAGAGATTGAATGAGTTAATTGCGTGTAGCGTGTAATGAGTGCGTGCCAAACGACAATTTGCTCAGACCGCTGCGACTCGTTTGTTGGCGGGCGACCCATTCGAGATCAAAGACTTAATCGTACGGACAGAGCACGGGAAAGTCCTTGCAGCACCAGCGAATCGTGTAAAACGACGACGACGTCTTCTCGCACTCGTGGAAATGTCATGTTTCGAACGAAAACGAGCGTCTCAATACTTTTGCGAACGTTGAACGATGGGCTTTGAATGTTTCTTACCAACCGCGGAACGCCGTGGAATTGAATTGAGCCAATTAACTTACCTTAAAGCCTTAATTATAGATGAAGATTAAATTATATTCGTTGCTGAGAATCGGTAAATAAATCGCTCATAGATAACGGGGAGAATTAAGGTACGAAATAATAGTAATTATCATCGTTTAATTCCCGATTTCTCTATAATAATTAATTTATTTGTTACCAATTTTACAAAACCACTCGTTTAATGCGAACATTGATTGTTATCATGATCTAACTTAATCATAGATCATTAGAAGTCTACACAAATGGAACTCAAGTACATTACGATATTACCTTTCTCTTCTTTATCTATGACGCAACAACATATTGTATCCCTGCGTGCGTATACGTGACGTGTGTGAATGACCAAGAGATTGAATGAGTTAATTGCGTGTAGCGTGTAATGAGTGCGTGCCAAACGACAATTTGCTCAGACCGCTGCGACTCGTTTGTTGGCGGGCGACCCATTCGAGATCAAAGACTTAATCGTACGGACAGAGCACGGGAAAGTCCTTGCAGCACCAGCGAATCGTGTAAAACGACGACGACGTCTTCTCGCACTCGTGGAAATGTCATGTTTCGAACGAAAACGAGCGTCTCAATACTTTTGCGAACGTTGAACGATGGGCTTTGAATGTTTCTTACCAACCGCGGAACGCCGTGGAATTGAATTGAGCCAATTAACTTACCTTAAAGCCTTATAAATAAATATTAATCATCTACCTATAAAATTATAGTGTTGGGGAAAGGTTTACGAAACGGACGTGAAAATGGCCATTGCGTAACTAATTGCTCCGATGTAAGCAGCGTGTCTTCTTTAAATGCACACTGAGAACATTTATTTTTGTCACGCTGGCCTACACTTGGTCGTTCTTTGATTCTACAGTGAAGTCCATTAATATTCGTACACATTTCAAAGTTGAACAACTTTTTTACTCAACTTGGTTACTTAACATTCTTAGGTCTACAAATAGTACGTTTTAAAAATATCGTAAAGTAATTTTACTAACATAAAGAAAAATTAATTCGTTAAGTTCAATATTATAAAAGTTATACAATTTCAAATAAGTCTGTACTTTATTATTTTTACAACCACGTTCCGTATTCGTTTTCGATTAGTTTCGTCAACGTTGTACATACACTCCATCATTACGACGCGCTGTCAACTAGAATCAATCGTTTTACTATTAACAAATTAGTGTTTTATTCTGATCGTACAATCATTTTAAAACAAGTTAACAAACACACTAGCAACCTGTACTATTGAAGCAACAACGAATCTCGTTAAAAGCGTCCCCAAAGCCCGTTCAACGTTCATGTGTATATGAAAGAAGCAATTCTTCCAATTTATAAGACTGATTTTTTTATAGATATACTTCTCATTCAATTGTGCGATCATGAATATCGTCCGCTTATGATTTCAGAAGGAAACGATTTGCGAAGACGTCGTTAATCCGCTCTCGATCCGTGCTCACCTGTGTCTAGTTACGTGCGCGTGGTATTAGAATCGGGGATTAACGAGAGTAAATCGTATGCGCCTATCGACGGCCGTTCTACACGAAATACTGTAGAGAACTGTTCGCGGAACGTTTTAAAAGACGCCTGCGTCTGTCCGTCTCCAAGACGGATTCGTCGTAGGTTGGGCTCTGTTGCATTGTAAAGTTTATACGTAACGTTTAAAGTACCGTTGATTACTTTAAGTCCGTTATCAAGTCCTAAGACTTCTAATTAAGGCATTATTTCCGCGAGCGACCGATCGCGCGCTCCTCTCCTGCCCTGTACATTTTCTCGCCGTGTGCCGACGGAACACTCGTTTAAAACGACGACGTCGCCTGTTCTCGACGCCGCCGTGCCGGATTTCAAATCTCTCTTCGAATGTCGCGCATTAGTCGTTAATCTTTTCGAATCGCGCTCAGATCGAACGCAAATCTGCATCAAAGCAATCATTTTTCCACTAATTAATGGGCGTAAAAATATATGCATATCCGTTCCCAGGCGATAAACGTTTTTCATCCCTCTAGGTGTATTTTAATAACCCGTCCTCGCACGGGTCACGACTGAACGTTTTCCTTAATTACCTGATCATTTTTACGATTTCTCGTTCTCTCGCAGAAAAAGCATATCGATCTCGTTGAATGTTTGAAATCAAATGGAACGTGGCAAGTTACGGATCGCGGTCACGATAAATTCGTGCACGTTCCATCAGACTGATTCGAAAGTATATAAATAACGCTGTTAGCATCTGAGCGCGTGAATTTTTACACGTATCGAGTGTGCCACGAGTTCCGGCACGCTTCCACGGACACTGCCATTCTGCAAACGATGTAAGTAATCATCCGAGACTGCCAAATCATACACACGGCGAACTTCCTACTTCCGGTAACAATAATTTTACGAATCGCATTTTTTGTCAGTATCGACAACAAAGTTTTCAAGATTTTCAAACGTTTTAACAGTCTTTTCGACACATTTTTATGATAAATTATTGATCACAATGATTTCGCTTGTGAATTATAGTGACTCTCATTAATATTCGTACCCATTTCAAACTTGAAGTAGTACATGTATGTACATCACGTACCTAGGTCTACAAAAAGCATGTTTCAAATTTTTATTAGTGAACCCATTGAAAAACTTAAAAGTCATGTAATTTTTTATTCGGAACTTCAACGAATAGTATAATTTCTTCCCTGTTCTACTACACATTATGTAATAAACTAAGCCTTCTAACATCTTGAAGAATATTATGTTTTTTAGTCCAATATTTAAAAAATTATTCAGTTCCGAAATGGATACAAACAATAATCGAAGTCACTGTAAGTAGGATTTCAACTGGGTTGCCGAGGGCGTGCGCGACACTGCGAAGATGAAGGCATATAGGTATACATATACATATATATATAATATGTGTATAATATATATATATATGTGTGTGTATGTATTCAAAGCGCGTGTAAGCGCATGCATTACAGTTAATGTACGTGGATGTATATATTTGAGAAGCACGTCAATCAAACTCATAGAGTTCGATTTATTTGTTAGAAGCGGGTGTCGTTTATCGTGACGATAATAACGTTTTTGTACATTGGTTTAATCGTCCGCTGAACGAGGACTTTTACAATTTACCCGAGTTCTTTCGATAGTAATTGACTGTCTTCGCTTCCGGGAACTTCTGGCTTTCGGCGAACAATTCTTGAGAGTTGTAATGTACTCAAAGCTAATGCAATGACATCCTTGACGTTCACATTCTTACTATATCTTACAAAATACTTTATAGGTTTTTATTTATATGTTTCTGTAAATATACAACACATGTACAAACTTATCTACTGATCGTCTTGAACATTATGCTTCATTTCTCAGTGTTACATCAATACATTTCTAGTCCATACTAGTCGTTATTACGTTAAGTCATTAGAATTTTATTAACGCATTATGTATTTTATTAGTTACAATGAGTGAGAGAGTCCTTGGAAAAACACGATCCATTTATAAATCACTTTTTCTTCAGTTATTCGTTGGACTGTACAAACGAGCTCCACAATGCATTTCACATTTTAATTAAAGCGGTGACGTCACTTGGAACCTCTCGAGATACACTAAACTGACTAAACGCATCGTGTCACATTCAATTTATAGAACACGACAAGGATCCAAAAAGAATTAAACAATCTGTCAGCTCAAATTAACAAGTAGGTGTACCTAAGATTTCATCTTTTGAGAAACCCACTAGTCGTACGATTGTAAGTATCATAAGTATTATATTCTTAATGAACGAAATATAAAAGTAAAATGACGTAGAGAATATAATTTTTAGTGGAAAAACTGTCGAAAATTGTAAGTGTCTGTACATCTAAGACCTAGAAATTGATCTGTGACGGACTATGCTCTCCACTATTTGGATCCTTGATGTACTAATATGTTTTTATAAATTAATTATATTTCCTTTGTCGCAATTTTCTATACGAAAGTATTTTTATTTCGAAACGATACAGTATTTAAAGTTACGTCACCGGTTTGACCGAGTGAAAATGAAGTAAAGGGGAGTGAGCAAATCAAACGAACAATTATTACTGTAACTACTATTAGCGTCGTTGTAAAAAATAATAATAACGATAAACAACTGAACGGGAAGGTAAGAAAAGAGAAGATTAGGCGCGAATGTGTGCGAGTGTCTGGATGTGCGGAGAGACGTCAATAACCTCGTCGAGAAAATTCCCATTTTTCTCTCCGTTTCAAACGATCGTGAGACAACATGAGTTATGTACGTCATAAAAAAATGAAATAATAATTATATTCGAGTCGGTGGTGTGGCGTTTCGAAGCGCCGTCGTGTCGATCGTAAAATCGATAAAATAAATTGATATCCTGTAAAGTATCGTACAAAGATTAGCTTTGTTTATTTTTTACACCATCCGATCCCCTTCTGGTCAATTAATTAATTACACCTTTATGAATTTATAGATTCTATTATATAATACATCTTCGGTCTCTAATATTAATAAAAAGCAGTGTAGAAACAAACGTAGAGAAGTATATATTAACAAAAACTAAGCAGGTAAGTTTACGAATAGTTTTTAATAGAAAACGTATAATACAGACACACTGTTCAAGATGGTAAAATTGATTAATAAAAAAGTTTGACTAGTATCCGGTGAGTTCGGCGAACGTGGAATCCATGTCGTCACAAATATATTTGTATTTCTCTTTTTCTCTATGCAGGAAATCTAGAAAAGAAAGTATACATAGATTGAAAATCAATTTTTATTTAAAAAAATATGGAATTTTTTAAGCTATACCTTCTCTCGCGTCCAACTCTTTCGAAAACACTTTAACCATCTTCTCTGCAATTATAGCCCTCCGCTCAGCAGTCTTTAATTTTAATTTCAAGTCCCTCAATTGCGCTTTGAACTCTTCCACCCTTAGATTGGCCTATAATAATGTCGAAATATTATACTTATGCATATTATAATATTTTATCAATAAAATAGTAATTTTTACCTTCTCTTCAGACACCTCCAAGGATTTCAGTATATTGCCAACGATGAATAGTTCATCTTCACGTTCTATTATCTTACTATGCATGATTAATTCGTAAAAAATCAAGGCTCATCATCACATCAAACTCAAAATTGTGTAAAATCACTTAACATTATACATACGCTTCGCTCGATTTTACTCTTTCTTCAGCCGCTTCCAATTCATCCTCGACGAAAGCCAATTTTCTGGATATCTCGTCCGATTTTGTGTCAGCGTCTTCAGCGATCATTCTCGCTTCCTTTAGCTGCGCCATCAATTGATCCATTCTTTCTTCGTCCTGTTTGCTTCTGGTCTCCAAAACTTTACAAATCCTACAAACGATAATTGATGGATTATCTAATCAAACTATTTAATATTATTCTTATCCGAACACACCGTTTTGCGTCTTCTGCAGTCTCCATCGCTTGTGCCAATTTTGTTTGCGCCGTTAAACGGCGTTCCTCGGATTTTTCTAAATTCTGCAAAGATTGCTGCATCTTTCTGTTCAGAACGGCTAACTCCGATTGCGTCTGTTCTCGTTTAATAAAATAATGAAAAAATACGGCGTGTAATATTGAATCAAAATAAACGTAGTGGACGTTAATAGTACATTATATAATATATACATAAATATTCGTATACATTACAAAACTGAATAACTCTTCCAATATTGGACTTAACGACTTGTTAGGCAATAGAAAGATCTAAATATGCCTTTTATATATCTAATTGTAAGAATGTTGTATGTACAGGTACAGGTTTTTATTGAAATCGATTGACCTGCTGCTGTGACCCATAAACGACTGAAAATGAATAATTGCAGGTTTTGCCAATATATTCGATCTAAAACTTAAACAAATTCAGAAAATCACATCTTTCGATACATCCAAATCTTTTAAGTCTTGACCGATTTTTATTTTGTACTTAAATCTGCAAAAAGAATCCTTAAAATTTTTATTAGAGAGACGAATGAAAGATTCAAGAATTAACAATTTTCTTTACTTTTTTATGTGTCATATAGTAAACTAGTTTCTTTAACACCCAAAAGAAAGTTAAATCGTCAAGGCCAATATTACAAAAGTTATTCAACTTTGAAGTGTGTATAAATATTTATAGACTTCACTGTATACGAATTTTATAATATAAATTACGAACCACGATATAAACTCTCTCTTTCTGTTCGAGATCTCTATTAGACTTTTCTAACTGGGCTTTACTTAATTCCAAATCCCGTTCCATTTGCACAAGTTTCTTTGCCAACTCCCGGACCTCATCCCTCAGCTTTTCCTCTCGGCGATTCGCCTCCTTCGCCTGTTGGTCACACATGTCGGCCCTATCCATCGCCAAATCTTTTTCGATCTTCAGCATTTGCAAGCGTTTCTTAATCGCGTTCATTGTTCCACCAATGGTTATTTCCACGCGGAGCTAAAATTCGACCAAACAAATCTTATGAGTCGATTTTTCTTCACCATTTTACTAAAAAGATGATCATTGGAAGGATTAAAAGGACAACTGTGAATATTCAACACATGCGAATGAATTTTTCCGATAAAAATGATAAACAAAATAAAACGTGTATCGAATATTTCAAGCTCTTTATGCAAATCCGTCTCTGAGTTCGATAGTACACTTCCAAAACTGTTGAATATTCGATTCAAATCACTTCAACACTACTGCATCGAAACGAAATAATCAATTTTTTATCCACTTGAAAAAACTGCACTCTTACATATGAATATTCGATAAACAATTGTATGGTCTGTCGAATCGAAGCTCGCGGGTTACTGCACTCAGTGACCGGCGAAGACAATACTTTATAGACTCGAATAAATGCAAAAGAACCTAATAGTCAGTTTCTTTAGTTAGACACAAACGAATTCCTCGACTTCTCTAGACGCTTGTCTTTTTCCAATAGCTCGATTGGCGTAAAGCTGCGAATTCGTACATTAAAAACTCTACAAATCGTAGAATGATGGTGTTCAAGAAAAATTTATGTTAAAAAACGATTATATATAACAGGTAATTACTGTTAATAGTAAATTTATTTATAAAATGTGTTCTTTACAGATTCAGATACTACTAGAAACTATGAAATAAATAATAAATATTATATATGGCATATGATAAAATTTGTAATATAGATTTTACTAACTAAGTTGAATATGTGTAGCTATTTTTATCTTTCATCGTATATCTATTTCTATGCGAGTCAGATACGACTTCAATGGAACATTAAAATAATTAATAAGACACGTAATAATGTTAATTTGTTTTGAATACCATTTATTGAAAATACAGATTTGGCATACAGTGATAAAAAGAGGGCGTGATATTGTGGTCGCTCTTGCGACTAGCAAATCCTCTTCATTGTCTCTGAAAGAAAAATAGGTAATGTCGTCAACTCCAACGAATAGCAAGTATTCTCTTCTTCCGAAGCAATTAGGTACACCTCGATGCATTGACGAGGTGGTTAAGCTTGAAGCAAAGCGGTTACATTAACAAAGAAATACTAGCAATGTACACTTTCTAATCGACATGTTAATTGCGTAATTTCGTATAGCAAGCGCTGTTAAAACCCTTTCACAGTACACTATAACGAATGAAATCAGCGTAGCTGATCATGGCCAACTAATGTCCATTAAATGTAGCGAATAAGCGGAAAAAGCTTAGAATAACAAAATAAATGAAACTCCATCCTTTCGATTTAGTATCCTGTCATTTCCGCGAACGTGGCATCCATGTCGTCGCAGACCGCCTTGTACTTTTCTTTTTCTTCTCTCAATTCGTCTGAAACATAATGATCATTGAAAACACCTTGTTCTCGAAAAGGCATGTCTTAGTTAAACTATTTGAATCTGACCTTCCTTCATATCGACGTCCTTCAATAACTTTTTCACTGTTCTTTCAGCGAGGATGGCACGCTTTTCGACAGCACGTAATTGTTTCTTCAGTTCCTTTAACTGCAGTTTGAAATCTTCTACCCGCCGATTAGCCTTTTCCTCGGATACTTCCAAGGATTTCACGATGTTTTTCACGATGAAGAGCTCGTCCTCTCGTTCTATAATTTTTCTACAAATACATTTAAAGTTGTGTAGAAAATATTTTGATGGTCACAGGAAAGAATAACGTGGCATAATTATACAAACGCCTCGCTGGTCTTCACTCTCTCCTCGGCTCCTTCCAATTCTTCTTCCACAAACGCCAGCTTTCTCGATATTTCGTCAGATTTCGCATCGGCATCTTCCGCGATTAATCTAGCGTCCTTCAATTCTTGCATCAACTTCTCCATACGCTCTTCGTCCAGACGACTCCTCTCTTCCAACACTTTGCACATTCTGCAATCAAAAGATGCAACCTATTGTCCTACTTTGAAACCTTACGTCATATGTTTATCATTTCTCAACTTAATATTTCTCGAACCACTATATATTTTGTTCGAAACTACATACAATCAGTACAGTATTACGGAAACGTATCATTCAATATTAATATGAACCTTTGCGCGTCATCCGCCAATTCTGACGCGCGTCCAAGTTTTATTTGAGCGGAAAGACGTAGTTCTTCCTTCTTAGTAAGAGACGCCTCTATTTCCTGCACCCTTTTCGTCAATGACGTCCGATCTTGTTCTGCCTATTGATAATGACACCATTCGTTTATCTACCAAACAACGACAACGTCTTTAAACCGATCTGGTACATGCCTACGCACCCTGGACCAAGATTTCTCGCACTGCTCTAAATCTGCAGTAGACTGTTCCAAATTCGCCTTGGCGACTACGTAATCTCGTTCAAGTTGAGCGAGCCTCTTTTCCAGATCCCTGACCTCGTCGTATATTTTATCAGCACGCATATTCTCCTGCTTCGCTTTTGTCTCATTCGCATCCACTTTTTCATTCGCGGCGTCCATCTCCTGCTTCAACGCCGCAATCTTCTTTTTAATCGCCTCCATGATGACGATGGGTGTTGTTCGCTTTTTCTTTAATCAGTTATCTCGTCGGCTCTTCGAACCTAAGAAATTCATTAAAATTATCGGGAATGATATTAAACGACAAAACTCTCAATATAAAGTCACTTTCGTTAATATTCGTACCCATTTCAAACCTGAATAACTTCTTAAATATTGGACCAAACAACTTAATATACTTTTGGGGTGTTAGAAGGCTTCGTTTACTATATAATGTGTAACAAATAAATTAAAAAAAAAAAATAGCTATTCGTCGAAGTCTCGAATGAAAGAGTAAAGGACATAATTTTTATTCGGGGGTTTTTACAATAAAAATTTGAAACATGCTTTTGGTAGATCTAAGTACATGTGCAATGTTTCACAAAAGTCAACGAAAGCATAAAAAAGTTAGACACATCGAAACATGTAAGAATTCTCCAATTTATTGTAACGTACTGAAGGTCGAATGTAATGAAGAAAATTTTCATCCATATAGTAATTAATTTGACGAAATTGACTGAATCAGTGTGGCTAAAAATTCGACGTTTGTATACGAAAGAACAGTACTTACTTCAATCGTTTAATTTTCGTTCGTCGGTGCGCGAAAATCGAGAACCAAACGATGTGACTCTCATGCCGTACGCTACTCACCGATAAACGAACAATGAGTAACAAACATCACGAAAGGGAAAAGGCAAGTCGGAGAGTTATAAAAAGGGGGACAACACTCACTGTAATCGTTGCGGTGATCCGCGATGAGAATGGACAACCGGATGCCTTCGAAAGCTAAGCTAAAATAAAACGAAATCGGCGCGGCGCGGCGCGGCGTCGCGGGCCTCCTCGAACTTCTCAATCCAATCCAATTCTATAATTGCTTTGTCGTCTTGTTGGCCGTCGTCCCGATTTTATCCCGGCTCGTTTACTGGCTGATTGCTCTACTCGCTGCGGTGACTACCAACGAAACGCGATCTCCGCCTCCCTCATGCTATTCTCGGCCCAAAAGAATTCCGTTCCTGTTTTCTGCCGGCCACGTAACCGCGTACAAACGATAAACACGGTACTGGGAAACATTTTTATTTATCAGATACTCTGAACAATTCTTCATTTCGCGCCGCGTCGCGTCGCGCTCTATGACTCTGTACGCGCGGTCTCGAAAATATTTCAATTTCGCGCTTTCATGCCGCAAGCTCAATCGATACATCGAAAAAATATTTAACTAGAACGCGCGAAACGCGGAAGCCCATACATTCTATCGTTACAGTTTGAATTACTAAGTGTAAAGAAAAGTCAATCAGGAAGGTAATGAAATATATTTTCTTTTGTGTATATAGATGATTGTGTATAAGATTGTTACAACACGTTTATGAAGCAACGTGATTTTATTAACATGGTTTTTCTAGTACAAAATGAATTGTTACACATTTCGTTCAGCTAATGTATTTCTTATCACTTGTCATGACAAATAAATGCGCAGCGTATAAGATCCTTACTTACAACTCCTATTACATTTCCTTTTAGTATATACTACCAAACAAATGTTTCATTTCATCGTAAATTATCGGTAGAACAAACATAAGTACACGTGTACATTCTATTAAATCGGATTAACGGATTAACACAGTAAATAAATTTTAACGCATAACTTGTCGTCAATTATGAATTCAAAAAGAGATTATTTTTTACCCTACGGTGGTGCATAATAAAAATGTACAGAACTATACTATACTACAATAATTTATTTCATAACTTCACTGTTTTAGAGATTCTGGACTTTAGTCTGCTAATGCAATATGCTGTGTCAATTTTGATTATTACAGTTTCACAAATACGATTCTTCAATGATAAATTGATCAGGTTCTAATTCTTCTTGTAAAGTGCATAAGATATTTTTAGTTCCTAAGCTGACTTACAGATCGGATTTAAAAACAGCAATTTCATTTGACATCGAAGATATAAAAACTAGAAGACTGTAGATACTACGAATCACAACATAATTAAGAGCTCTACAATTTTATTTTTACAAAGTATAAATAATAATCTATGTGAGGTGGAATTTATTAAAAGTGTCTGTTACCTATCTTCTGAACTGTCCTTGCGGTGAATAGTTTCGTATCCTAGATTTAATTATTTTGTCCTTTATGTCGTACTTAGCAAAATCTATGAAACGCAATTACTAAAAGCAAGTCAGACAAAAATTCGTTCTTCAAGTTACTCATAAAACTGTAAAGTTGACCATAAATATTTATGCTGTATACGTGACTAACAATACTGGACACTTTAAATCTTTGATAAGCAAAAGTTTTCCAACGCAAAAACAATTCCACACAGGACACACGATTCTTAAAAAATTCTAAATTTCAAACACCGATATGTCAACGCAAAATGAACAAAACAATGGGTAAAAAATACAACCGTGAAAGCGCTAATTAGAAAAAGATTCGACGACTCCCATTCTCATAATTAGACACACGATAAATTGTCAAGTGTGCATGTCAGTTGTACAATAAATACGTATAAATGAAATACAGAATTAAGATTACATCGGGTACAGTTCAAAGATGAAATGAGAACTTTCGAAACGAAAGAATTATTCTTATCGTTTTCTATTAGTCTCATGCATTATTTGAGATTCATGTAAAGTGTGTGTAAAGTAAAAATACAAATTATTTCTTAATTTAAGATGCTAAATATGTATATATAATATAAATAGTGTTCATTTGATAGAGCTGATACATAAGAGATATGTTCAAAACACAAACAGCGAATTTTACGCATTTTTAATGATATAAATTATCGATCGCGATGCATCTCGATCTGAACCGGCTATGCGTCTTCATAACATTTTTGTATTTATTAAACACGAATAATATTACGTCAGAATTCTTTGTCACTATTCGAAATTGTTTAAAACAGTGATCCTTCGCTTCTGAAACTTCGATTCGCTAATAGGAATGTATTTCTTGTTTCACAAATGCAATAGAAGGATCAATTTAGAAACCTTTTAGAGAAACATAAAGTTCTCTTAACAGATATAGATGAGCAAGTCTCGTTTATGGCACATAATAAACACGTTTTAGGAATGCTGATTTTAGTAAAAAATGTCCATTTGAGAGTGGAGCTTCCATAAATGTACCAAAAGCAAAGAATTGTGCGAATAGTTTTTCTTTGTTTCTTTTAGAGTAAATAGCTTCTAAATGTCATAGAAAGCAGCGTATATCCACACTGAGTTTTGGCAAGATACAATATATATGCATATCAAGAAAAGCTTTCAAAACAATATTAGTATCAAATACGATAATATCGTGTTCATATAGTGTGTAAATGCGTTTTTTATGAATCACGCTTGTGCATACACAATGTTTAGAATTATTTTGTCTATACGAATTAAGAATATAGTTAATCATATAATAGTATCACTAAATTAAAACTCTGTTTATATAGAACTCCTCAAGTAAATATTTGCAAATCTAACAGTAAAACAGAATTATAAATACTTTTTGATGATTTTAACAAATAATAAGAGCTCATAAGAAAAAATACAGAAACTTATACGCAAGTTGTGCAACCTTATATATGTACATACACACGTAAATAGTAAATGTGTATATATATATATATATACGTATATTATAAAAACAGAATGTATTAAAAGAACCTCGTGCCGCATAAAGTGCACTATAGTGTTTGAATATAAAAGTACACATCAGTGTTCATGTGCACATTTTAAACATACCTCTAGAGAAGTACATGGACAATGTACTGTAATATAGTGTACTGAGCTTAAAAGGGCAATGCACGATGTATTTTGGGCGGAAGCGGTGACGTAATAAATCTATCAAACCCATAAACGTGGGAAGAAGTTCTTCTCAGAAATCGGTGTTTTATAAAGTGTTAATGCACCATTGATAAATGCAACATTGTCATCTAGAAAGATTGGATCCGGTTTCAGAATCGGTTGCCGTTAACAACACATATGTTGGTGTATAAGAAAGCAAAAGATGTACAGCATCTTCACGGTCGAGAGCTCGTAGTTGCTGTATCAGCGCACCTACGGTACAATCGGCACCCGCCGTATTCAATAATCTGTCAAGTATATAAAGAGTTTTATAGAACAGTTGAATTTCTTCCTCTTTTCACGTATACTTGAGATATGCGAACTCACCTCAACGTTGGACTGTCCACCGTACTATCCAACTGAGCAACCCGATCTCCTAAACCAAGTCTCACGGCAAGTAAACACCAGTCTCTTCCATGACGATCAGGAGGGTCAAGCATCTGTGCCAATCTTCTTTGTACAGCAGGCTTGATGTACTTCACCTGTTGCTTTGGTCCAGGAAGACAATTTTCCATTAAAGGCAATCCACAGCCTACAATTTCCCATACAGTTTCTTCTCGACCGTTCAGAGGATTCTTAAGTTTCGCTTCTTCAAGTCCTTTATCGATTAAAGCAGATATAACCGGCGCTGGTTCCCAAGAATGTATTACCTGTACGCGTCCACAAAAATCATTATGCAGTTGTAGATGCATTAGGTGGCTACAGACATAACTGTGTGTATAATCACGCGTATATATATATATATGTATTCTCTTGTACACAAAGAAAAAAGTAGCTAAAGCGAGCATATCGCCGTCCGTGCTCGACATATTTCAAGCACCAGCTGGCACTTACTCAAGTTTACTTGTATCGTTTGGTGGCGAAGGTAAATTGTGTGTGTTTGTGTGAAAAAATTGATCATGCATGCTCGTTCAGTTACGCCCGTAGCTATCTTTATACTAATTTATTCATGACCAAATAACTAACTTCATCATAATCTCGAAGTTGACCAGGACTCAACCAATATCTCTCGAGTAACATGCCGGGAGCAACGAGTTCGATTGTCGTCTCGATCGCGTCGAGGATAATGCTGAAGAGAGTGAAACATTGCGCACTGGTGCCTCGTGGTCCACGTACTCTTATTTCTATGCAACTCTGTTCTTCTTCTTCAAACGTAATGATACTCTCACAAGGACCTATACATAATTTAGATCCTCTCCACCACTGATACAAATCTGAGTTCGATGGATCCCACGTCTGGGTGATTTTTCTTAATTGTGCCTACGTAATTCGATGTTATCAAGAAATTGATTACAAATTATACGGTCAAAATTCACATTATGTTACTTAGTGTTAATGCATACTTGCAAATGTGGAAATACTGCACTTAAATGGTACAATGGTGCCTCGGGTGGTGAAAGACGAAGACCGGCATGAGGTAAAACGTTGGAACATGATTTCCATGGTTCCCATAATCCTGGTAAACGCTCAACGAAATTCAAACATGGAATTTCATATTCAACTTCGTCCTCGTCCACCTCGCACTGAAGGTATAAAAATCTGAATCGTATTACACGAACATAACTGGACGTAAAATTATACGTTAAGCAGCATACCTGGACACATAAATTTACAGCTTGTAAAGCTTGCAGAGCTTGAGCTGCAGGGCATGGACAACGCGCCTGAAAATCTTCCAAAGCGTAAACACCGGTGGTTCGACCACCCAGGCGTCCTCTTTGTTCCAAGCTCAATTGCCAATTTATTACATCTTGCCAAAACCATTCTGGACTCAAAACTATTAAATTTCCCGGAAGAAGAATACATTCCCCTAAATTCTAGCGCAAGAGAAAATATAAAGATATATCAAGATATAAAGAAAAAGGAATTTAGAAACTCTCGATAACAAACCTGTAATTGCAATCCAAGGTGTCTACAATGCTCTAACGAAACTAACGGATTAATCTTTCTAACTTCCTTCAAAAATTCCTCTTGTGTAAGCATAACCGGAGATGCCTCTAAAGATTGCACATACGATCTCCAAGATTCGGCTAGACCAGTCCATACTAGTGCACTCTATAATAAGATTATTAGATCCTTAATGATTAAGAACAACGGAAAAATTATTGGTAATACACTGATGCAGAAAATATATATACAAGAGTTTCTTAATTGCATTGGAGAGTTAGTGCACGTATGTATTAATGGGATAAAGCGTTAGAGCAATTGTTAAATAAATTTACAGCTTCATTTATTACGCATCACTTTTTTTATCAAAGGAATTGAGAAATAGTTCGACCTGTTTATCAAGATTCGCCAAGGGCACGTACGAGGCCGCAGCCCGCGGCGTGTCACGTCGGAGAATACTTTCTGCAACTTCCGGTCCTTCCTACATCATGCATTGCATGCAGTAAGGCTGATGTTAATAAACGTTAATGACCAAATAATCAGCAACTAAAATACATGTTGTTAGTAAATTGATTATGTGATAGAATGTGACAGCAGATACAAGGAAAGTTTACATAGAAAATATTTTCTTTTTTCAAGGAATGTGCTTGATCAAATGTTATAAATAATTGTTTTGATTTAAGATTATGAATACAACAGTATCGTATTTGGTGAGCTCAATTACTTATATATATATAAGTATATATATGTATATCAAATCAACCATGCATCATGAAATGACCATGGATCACTGAATTATAACTTCAACAAAAACGATTGCATCGTATTTAGGAGTGAATATGCTTAATTAGCATAATATGTATTAACATGGCATGAGATTGAAAATCAAAGAGAATTGTGAATTATACAAATGGAATCAGCAAGTATGCAAATGAATGGCTCAATTCGAATCAGAACCGTTTTTGATAATGTTAATGCACACATTTATTGCATGCTGTACAAATACTGGGCGATATCCCTGTAAAAAAATGTGGAAGTACAGTTATGTACACGAGATATTAAGCTGAGAACCTAAACTTTTTATATTTTATAGAATACGTATATTATGTATAAATCTTTTAATGATATATTTGATTTCTTTTCTGACTGAACGAGTCGCTCGTGCAACCAAGCATGAAATGAGATTGCAGATTGTTGTGCTAAATTGAGACTTCTGGATGTAAATCATTCAAATTCAAAACGATCTATCTTATTTTTCAACGAATCGATATACTATTAAAACACAGTTAAATGTAATTTACATCCTACATTCCCAATTTAAATTAAATGTAGTATGATCTTAATTTTTATTTGATACTATGTATAACATGCAATAATTTGATTAATTTAATGTGTTTAAAAAAGTTAGTTTGTTAAATACGATAGAATACAATAAGACGTTCAAACTGATTACGAGTTATTAACAAGACTCGGTTAAATCTGAGAGACTCGTAATAATCATTTTTTTCTTTTCCAATTGGCAGTAATTGGTAATATAAAAGAATTACTATATATTAAGAGTATAAATTGTAAGAGTGATGATAACTTTCATAAATTGTATTATCACTTCACCTCTAAAAATTCCATCCTTGCATGATTCAAGTAAGATCTTAGAAGTTTCAGACCAGGACTAGAAGGATTAGTTGCATCCACTGCGACCATTTGGGGTTCGTCTCCCAAAATTGGCATAAATTCTTTCAAAAAAGGTAAAAGTAGAGCAAGAAGGCTACCGCTGTTTGAATTTGGAGCAAGAGGTTCCGGAGCGTAAGTGCCGACCAAGATTACCTTCACATCATTGTATTTCCCACCAAAACCTATTGTACAAGGATATGCATGAAAACCTATCATTTATTACTAAATGTACGACAACCTCCCGTATTCGAACGTGCATTATCTAAAAACTTGTATCTCACTGTTCCTTATACGGGAGTATACGCTGTAGTCAAGAATCGAAAGAATAAATAGTGAAATTTACCAAAATTAGTTGTCGCGATACGATCTGAAATAAATCGTAGCCAAAATTTCACCTGCTGGAGTTGAACAGTGAGTGGTTCCTTAAGGCTAACAGTGATAAGATGTACGGCCGGTTGTTGAAAAGTGAGTACATAGTGATAAGATGCTAAGAATTCTTCACGGCCACATAACTCCCAGAAGACACATTCTCCGCCTAATTATTAATTGAATTTATAAATCCGTTCCTCCGTCTTAAAATACTAAAAGAACTGACAAGTCATGTCCACTCACCTACGTTACCACGACTCCACTCCACTCCCTGTGTACTTTCGTATTCGCTGTCGCTGTATTCGAAACTAAGTGAGCCATGCTTGCTAGTTACATCTAATTCGATACTTGGTTCCCTCTGTGATAAAAAATGAAATAAATGTATTATATATTATGTGAAAAAAGGGTTATTTATAACAAATATATTGCCACTTAAATTTCATTTTACATACCTTCGTAGTATAATTCTGACTCCTTGATCTTCTAAAAAACCCGAAGCTGAACATCCCCGATTTCAGAGAGTTTATCAAGGATGATTTTCCTGATGCACAATGTCCTAAAAGTCTTACGTGCAGACGATCTATTGGTCTGTGCGTCGGTTGCAACTGTTTAATATAATTTTCGCGTTGAACAGGCTGCAATGTAACACGGCTTTAGTAAAAACACAAGAATGTATTAATCAGTAACATACATTTCGAAGCTTATCCAACAGAGACGCAATATCAGGATGTCCATATTTAATTGCTGTCACATCTGCCCTGATCCCACGATTTGTTTTGTCAACGTCACAACCAGCAAGGCACAAATGTCTAACAAGATTAATAAACCCGTGCCTAGCAGCCACATGTAGTGGCGTTAAGCCCTTCTGATTCGATGTATCAAGGTCTATGCCGTTCTCAATTAAAAATGTCACCATCGCTTCGTCTCCTGCTTCGCAAGCTATATGTAAAAGCGTATCTTCTTTCTGGTTAAACAAATAATTGCTTATACATTAATTATGTTATATATAATCCTGATCACTAAATTATTAATAACAAGATTTTTACAGAATCTTTCACGTTCAATGGCGCTCCTTGCAACAATAACTGGGACACAGCCTCGACGCAGCCCCGTTTAACGGCACTAATCATAGCTTCACCAAGACCTTGACAGGCTTCTGACTCCTACAGAATAACAAAAAATATGATCTAATGTTGTTCATAAATACAGTGCGTTAAATTACTTGTTCTTAAAAATAAATGATCAACAGAAAATTAATCTCTCTATAGCGTTATGTACACCAATGTAAGAAATGTTATATTTTCTAATCAGAATAAAGGTACATATATATATATAGTCAATAAAAAAATTTGTTACATTTAACTTAATAATGTATATTCTGTGAGAAATAATTTGCATGTATGATGTATAATTTGTATGTAACTGTACAAATGATACTAACATTAGTCAAGATATATATAAATAAATCGTTATTTTGTATGAAACGAATAAAATAATTCGAATAAGGATTATAGTCAGATCTGACAATTGCAAAGAAAGTTAGAATATTGTATATCAGGAACAGACCGTGAGGATCCAAGGATGTTTAAGGCACGATTCTGCAGTTCCTCTTTCTCTGCAAATTAAATTTTTCGTTATTAATTACGAAAATAAAATTTTTAGCACAAAATTATAGGATTCTCACACTTACTTTGGATCCTTGATCAACAAGGATCTTATGAAATCTTTGGCAATTTCAGATACTGTACTGAAATATTCATTGTCAAACTGATATTGGCAAGCAGCAACATTTGCATACGTTTCTTGTTTGTCTTCACCTAGGAATGGAGACGCACCACTTAGGAGAATGTACGTTAAAACGCCTACTGCCCAAAGATCGGTTCCCAAACTAAGTGGTTCATAATTAACAATTTCAGGTGCAACAAATTCTGGTGTACCGAATAATGCTCTATGTTCAGATCCAGGTACCAATCGATGTGACAGACCTAGATCTGTATATACAACATTTTATGTTAAATTATGTTACACACAACTGAGCAGTGTTCATTCAAGGAAATTAATATATGTAAAATACCTATTAATTTAATATTTGGCATTGGCGGTGGAGTACATAAAAGAATATTTTCAGGCTTGATATCTAAATGAGCAACTTGATGGGAATGTAAATGACTGAGGGCCATTAAGACCTGACGGACCTATAAAAAATATTATTTATTATACATGTTATGATGTAAAAAATTCTGTTTATAATATACACTGTTAAGATAGTGACAAACCACATGTGCAGCTTCTAATTCACCAGATGGTACCCAATGAAAAAGTTCTCCCCCCAAAATTAATTCTAGAAGTAAAACGACTGTTGTGCCTGTGTCAACAACTTTGTGCAATGAAACTATATTTGGATGTCTCAATCGTGCTAGTAAACCTGCTTCTCGAGCTAAAACAAAAACTTAACAATTATTCCATCCAAAGAAGCAAAAATATTAATGAACATGCACATATGTATATGTACCAATATCTGCAGCTGCAACACCTCTGGCAACCCGCCTTTTTCTCATAATCTTGGCCGCATACAACTCTCCAGTTCTTATTTCCATGCATTTTCGTACTATCGCAAATTGTCCTCTGCAATTTATATTGCAGTAAGTGTATGCATAGATAAAATGTATTTGGTCATTATCACAACATATAATAATATAATAACTTACTTTCCAATTTCTTCCAGTAGTTTATAATTTTTTTCAATTGGTTCATGATGAACCTCCATTAAAGAATCCCACTCAGGGCCTAATTGATAAATGAAAATCTCTGATCATAGAATAAAATTTTACTTAATATATATTAAATATAAAGAATCTACTCATTCCCATAAGATAAATAGCTAATGTTAAATGAAATTAAATATTAAAACAAATTAAAATTAGAAACCAGTGATAAATAATGTTCATAAACATATTATTGACAGAATATACATACCTACATAAAACATAAATGTGAACATTTGCAAAATATTATGTTTTTCTCTTTACATGAAGAACTTATCTTAAGATGCACTATTTACAAACATCAGTCAACGCAAATAGAAATAAAGCAGCGAAACAGATGCTCTATGATTGCATGAAATAAATGTTGGATACTAATAATGATTTAATAACAATTGTTGTTAAAAACTAAAAGAACATAGACACCTGTCAATCCTGTAGTAAACAGATACGAAAATCACTTCCGTGCACACGCAGCCACGTGGATGTATTCTCATTAATATCGGAATAATTGTGTATTAAAAACCTCGCTGATATGCTTTGCATCCCTTTGATTGTATGAAAGTCGCGAAAAAATATTTAAACATCTGCCAGCCTTGACAGAAACGTCGACAACACGATATTTATGCACAGGAATTCGAGAAACAATTGAAAATTAAGTCGGTTTTTACCACCATTCGATGTTCCCAATTGGCGAGACGTGCCCGACATCATCTCACATTCATTCTCATCGTTTAGTCCACGTCTATCCGAGTTTCGAGTTTCGCGAAGAGCCGTTACGAAAATTCTATCCCATTCGTCGGCCTTCACTCATACCGGCCAGGCGGCCACCCTACATACACAATCGATATACCTGTATCGCGTGAAACGCCACCTTTCTAATCTTTGTCCCCCAAATTCAAAATGCATCGCAATCCCATAAAATGTTTCCTAAATATGTGCATGCTTCAATAAATTATGATTTATATCTACAATAAGAATCGTTCAAAAGTAACAATTTTCGATGGTACGATTGACCAGTGTCGAATAAAATGTTTTAACTGAAATTAAAGCTAAATTAATGAGATTGATACATATATTCATACAATTCAATTCGCAAGGTAGAATTATGCTTAATTATAATCATAATACGATACAACACAAATAGTTAACATAGGGACATTGAAAAAATAATATTTATATATATTCTCTTTCACTGTATATTAAAAAGTCAATAATAGAATATAATAAAAAAAATTTTTATGTTTAATTGAAGATTATATCTACAAATATTTATATAATTCTATATAATTGTTACACAGGTTATTGAAACATAGGAGCCAAATAGCAATTACTACAGCAATTGTTTGTCATAGGTAAAGTATCAAATTGTTTGAGGTAGTGCGTAATTAATACTTTGTCAAAGTATTTTTATTATCATAAAAATGCATACAGCAAATAATGTGTTCCATGAACATGAATCTAATAATAATAAAATTACCGAGGGCGTGAATTATTAGATGTTAACACAAATACAAAGCTTTTCAAGTACGATGCAAATTTAATATTTTTAATCCTTCATAGATTCTTCTGTAACTTGGGCAGGTTGACCAGATTCGTTATCTGATTTCTTCTTCTTGCTTCCTGATACAATGTCATCAATTCTTAGCAATAAAATAGCAGTTTCAATAGCTGTCTTATACGTCTGTAGTTTCACGGATAACGGCTCCCAAATACCACGATCTTTCATATCTACTAATTGGCCTGTCTCTCCATCGATGCCCCATGTCATTCCTTCAGTAGCATGTTTCGCACGCAATGCAGTCAGAGTTCTAATGGTATTAGCACCACAATTCTGTGCAAGAGTTCTTGGAATTATTTCTAGTGCCTGTGCTACTGCCTTGTAAGGCCACTGTTCTACGCCTGCCAGCCTTCCCGCTTTTTCCGCCAGAAGTCTTGATACTGCCATCTCGACAGCACCTCCACCTTTAACAACAGATTTCAACGATAAAACAAGAAACAACATAAACAATACAAATTGTCGATGAGAAATCATTGATTACCTGGCACCAATTTAGGTTCAAGAAGAAGATTCCTCGCAACATGTAAAGCGTCCTGCAAGTTTCTCTCGGTTTCATTTAATACATCCTTGCTTGCACCTCTTAAGATTATAGTGCATGCCTTAGGATCTTTACATTCCGTAATAAAGCAAAAGTATTCATCACCAAGCTTCTTAATCTCAAAGAGACCAGCTTTTGTTCCAACATCGTCATCTCTTAACTCCTCCGTGCGATTTACGACAGATGCTCCACAAGCCCTAGCAATTCTGTTAATGTCACTTTTTCTCAATCTACGGATTGCAGAAATTCCAGCCTTAACAAGATAATGCTGTGCCAAATCCGACACCCCTTTCTCAGTGATTACTACATCGGGTTTTACTGCTATGATGTCTTCACACATTTTCTTAACAAATTGTTCTTCCATTTCTAAGATTTTAGTAAAATCGGTATCTTTCATTATCTCTATATTAGTTTGAGATTCTCCCTTTTTATATTCCAAGTTACAATCCAATAAAACTATTCTCGGATTTTTAATGTATCGTCTCATCTTTGGATGAGTAACATCTTTATTGAACATTACTCCCTTCAGAACAGTACTATCTTCGATAGTACCACCAGGAATTTTCTCTACCTTTGCGTAGCGTTTTATGTCTATTTCTTTTCTGCCATTTTCATCAAGCATAACAGTATACACTGCATCCAAAGCAATCTGACATGCTAAGTCAGACCAGCGTCCAATGAATTTAGTTCCCACACAGGAATTGATTACTTCAATCAATTTGCTTCGATCATTGTAATCAAGATCCGTACTGACTTGTTCATTGAGAATTGTAACCATATCTTCTAAAGCTTGACGAAATGCTCTTATTATTATTGTAGGGTGCATATTTTGTTCAAGAAAAGGTTCAGCAACAGCTAAAGTTTCTCCAGCCAATACGATAACTGACGTGGTACCATCTCCAACCTCTTCATCTTGAGTTCTAGCGATTTCTATCATCGATTTCCCAGCAGGATGTTGTACGGTTATTTCACGCAATATAGCATTTCCATCATTGGTCATGACTATACCTCCCATTGGATCCATCAACATTTTTAACATTGCTTGTGGACCAAGACATGTTCGAATGACATCTGCAATTGCCTTCATGGGAAAAAGAAATCAAACAATTTTTAATTTTGTCTTAAAAAATTACACATAACTGAATCGAAAATATTACTTAAATTCATTGATAGCTATATTTAAATTAAAATATATATAAATAGTATCAATGTACTATTTAGGAAAACAATGCACGTGGGCGTACGGATATTCGAGTAGGCCTTAAAAGGTAAATAACACGAGTACGGCTTACTCACCTTTCCGGCTTGAATGTTTTCTCTCTGAACCTTTCGGCCGGTATCACGTTTCGTATTTTCACCTGCAATAATCAAAGCACACGACATCGTGAATAAAATTTATCTGACTATCTATTTAAACAAATGAAAATCAAAGTCATTATTGTTTAACCTACTTAAAACTAAGATTGGATTAGCTCCTGACCCAAACATTTTCTTCAACTATTTCGTATTAGTAAAATACTGATAGGAAACGATACTTAAGCAAACGCCTAACTTTTCCGGAGGAAAACGGATGACGAGAAATCACAATAATTGGTTAGAAACCAGAGTGACGAATACGCAATAACCCTATACTTTTTGTAGCATATTGCCAACAGAACCATCAAAGATTCCTGTTTATATCCCTACCACGATCCCTACACTAAAAATTTTTAAATACATATATATGTATACGATATATATATCGTATTTGCAAATTTTTAACTGGAAATCCTCTCATTTTCTAAAAAGTTGACATAAAAATGATGATACTTATACTTTTTATATGTATGTGAAGTCACAAAAGTATAATAAAAATAGCTGGATCAGTTAGTTGATCCGTAATTTTGTAGAAAGATATTTCTACATATTTTTCATATCGTATCATATGCATGACAGAGCATAACAATCATTTTCTTCCCATATTTGCCAGAATCTGTCGCCAACCAGCAGCCGACTTGATTCAATTGACGTTTTCATCTTTTCTCATTTTTCATTTGTTAAACAAAGCCTGTTAACCCAGTAGTATATACATTCAAAAATCTTCTGGAATGTTTTTCTTATTATAATTATTATTATTATATTTTTATTATTGATATGCAGTACGAAACAATGACGTAAATAAATGTTGAAAACTCTTCTTTTAGATAGTAGAGCACAAGGGAGCATTTTGTAAAACTTGCCACAGAGTAAACTCAGTTAAATGAAATCTTCAACTTGATACTCCTCTCTTTATACCAGTAATTGGAATATAACACCTTCAATGGAAATATAAAAGGACCACAACTGATGATTGTAGACTAAATGGACCGGCAACCGCTATAGTAAAAGTTCTGAATATTGTACTTCGAGTAGCCGCATTCCTACAAATGTCCATGAGCAATTAGCCGTATTAGAAATTTTAAGTTGTAAACTTAACTGCCCTCAAAAAAACATAAACCTCTCGAGGAATAAATTTGAATCCTTATTTTTTGCGATTTGAAATCAGTTAGATTAACGCTGAGCCTGTTGTTTAAATAAGCTTAAGTCACTATAATCTAATCGCAAACAATAAACTGATATGTGACCTAATCATTTTATTTCAATTGTGCCAACAATGAAGCTACGTGATCAGATACAGATTTTATCTATATATTTATCGATCTTTGATTAATTGAGAAGATAGTATATTATGCAATTTATAATTACTATTTTTCACATTTTCTATGATTATTAAAACTTCTCATGAAAATGTTTATTGTATATTATTCTATCATAATCATTGCACAATTCTTAACGAGCTCAACGTCGGAGATATTTATTAACGAATTTGCAATTGAAGTAGATTGCGTATAACTACCATTGTAATAGATTAATTGGAACCAACGCATCGTAACCGACAGAATAGTTAGTCAAAACAGATATTGGCAGTTGTCGAAATCTTAGGATGAAGAACACGGTCCTGACTGTTTTCTTTTATTCTTGCTTGAAACTCTTTACGGAAGTTCGTTCTAGTACGAGGTATATTTCAATTAAAAGAACGCGCATATTTAATCAAAATCTTATTTCTTGAAAATAGAAATAGAACGATTGAAAATATTTTTAGAGTCTCTAGAGATCTAAAGTGTTCTATTTTAGGGCAAAAAGAAATTAAAAGATTGATATATCTATGCAGTATGTTTATATGTTTCGATGGTCATCCCAATTTTAAAAACATTTCTTTATTTTTCCGTAGCTTATTAGCTGATGATGCAAAAAATTCTACGCTGAGATCGAGGATAGTTCTACCAGAATATTACGTAAAAGGTTCGTCAGTACTATAATTCAGTAAAATACTATTTTTTCTTAAAGTGTGATAGAACTTTATTCTTCTCTTCTCTTTATTATTGGACATTATTGAAAAATCCAAACATCATTAAATCTTGTTCTGCAAAACTCTTCGCGAATAAAAAAATTTATATGAAATCATAAAGTGTAGAAAATCCATTAAAAAATTCTACTAAAAAATATGGATATCTGTGAATACCTTTGATACCGGATGTATACTGCTAGCGTTTGTGCGTATATACATATGGTGTTTGTTTTTAATATCTAAATGAATTTGAAAATAACGCAGAGATCAGACCTCCATCAAAGCAAGGACTGCCGGTGATAGTGGATTTCAACATTTTCGTAGCTGATATCAATTCGATAAATGTCGAAGATATGGATTTCCGGTAAGTCAATGAGGAAATTCTTTAAATGCAATGATACGTAAAGATCAAAATATTCATCAAATAGAGTGGACATGTTCGTCCGTCAGAGTTGGATCGAATCTCGACTGGACATGCCAGAAAATATTTTTGAGGAAGGTGATGATTACGTGACACTGCCTCCTGAATTTTTCGACAGTTTATGGCAGCCAGATCCTTATTTTTTAAACGCAAAAGTTTCCGGTAATTTTAAATTTTGGTAACTAAAGATATTAAAACTTCGGCCCTTTGGTTTAAAATTAAATAAAAGTCATTTGCTTTCAGAAATTGCGGCGCTAAATCACAAATTTTCCTCAGTTACATTGTACAGAAACAAAACGGTCAAATACTCGGCTAGAATGCATGCCATTATCGCCTGCCAAATGGAATTTCAGCTTTATCCAATGGACATACAAATTTGCCCCATTTATATAGAGAGTTGTAAGTTCATTAACGAATAAAATAAGACCAAATGCATATGAACTGTTAGGTACACCTGTTTCCAGTATCATTTTTTTTATTAACATTATATTTAATTTTGTTATCTATTCCGGAAATCTGTCTCAGTTTCATATCACAAAAACAAGGTACGATTGAGATGGGGTGCGGGTGATGTGACCGTAAATCCAGAACTGAAGCTCTTACAGTACGATATCGGTAAACCAGTAGTTACCGAAGAAACTGTTGACTACATGCCTGAGAAAAGTGGTATGATCCTTTTTCCGATATGCAATATTGTTATTATACAGGGTGTTCCAGGAAAAGAGTTAGATGTTTCTGAAAACAAGTTCCTTTGGCAAAATGCAAGGGGTGGCCTTTTTGAATCATTAACGAAAGACACTGACCAATAAGAACACGCGTAGGGCCCGCGCTGAGCCACGGCCGAGCATCACGATCCAAGCCAACCTACCCCACCTACCCGTGGCTAAGGACAGATCCTACGCGTGCTCTCACTGGTCACTGTCTTTCGTTAATAATTCAAAAATCATATCTAACTTTGCATTTTGCCAAAGGAAAATGTTGTTCCGAAACATCTACAGAATCACGTCTCTTCGTCTCTAACTCTTTCTCTGGGACACCGTGTGTAGATACAGTGTTTAAAATTAAAAAGACAAGATATTTAAAGATTCAGAAGTATAAAAATTGTATTCCAATAAATGAGTGATATCCAGATTCCATAGAATCTATGTTTAATTAATTCACAGGTAATTTCTCTCGATTGGTAGTCTTCTTTCGATTTGAAAGACAAATCGGTCATCACTTGATACAAACGTTCGCTCCGTCCACGTTGGTGGTGATGCTCTCTTGGTTTAGCTTCTGGTTAGGATTGGATGCAATACCTGGTCGAGTAGCTCTATTAGTGACTAGTATGCTCACTTTGGTTACTATGTTTACTGGTTTGAAAAGCGATATTCCTCCAGTTGCTTACGTAAAAGTACGTGTCCCTTTGCTAACAATATTTTAAATACATGTATGATCTAATCTAATCAGATATTCGAATATGGAAGATCAAAACTGTAAAATTCATTTCCTTTTACGCAAATCATAATTTTCTACTATTATAAAAAAAATTGACTCTTAAACGTATTTTGCGTATTTTAGGCATTAGACGTTTGGATGGCTGGTTGTATGATGTTCGTATTCGCTGCTCTTGGTGAATTCGTCGTCGTAAAAGTACTTGATTTACGGTATCAGTTAGAATACGATCTACAGAGCTCGATAATGTCTCGCTATTACTCAACAGTTTGTATACCCAATGTATTATCACTGCATGTGTAAATTGCGGTAACAAATATGCGTCATGATGTAACAAAAAGTATTGTAAGTCTTTGATTAGTTGATAAATAATGAAGTAAACTAAACAAACATAGTAGAAAATTTTTCATCAGCATAAGAAATAACCACTTGCTATTTTTTGCCTAGAAATAAAAAGTATAGAATTCAATTCATGTTAAATCTGCTAATGAATTTGTTAGTTAAAAATTGCAGCTAATGATAGACACACCTGCCTGCATAGAAATTTGAGATCGAATTTCAAATTCACAATTAATTAAAGACTTACAAGGCTTCAAAAATTAAATGCGTACACGAAAGATGCAAATTCTTTCTTATTTTTAGCGTGTAATTGCTATGGAAAAGGGTCAAAACGCCTGGGATTATGATTCAGCATATACAACAAAACTAAAAAATAAAAGGGCCAGTAGCAAGCTGCTACAAAATACGTGGTTAGACCCTGAATATCCAATGGTACGTGCACATAGAACTAGGTCGCAAATGATAGATACGTATAGCAGAATAGGATTTCCCATACTATTCATGCTATTCATAATTTTGTACTGGCCGATACTCCTACTTAAGAAAGCGGCATGAAATTACAAATCTTTAGTTAATTAGAAAAAGTGTATAAACTACGTATGTCAAGGCATACTCATTCTCAACATATGATTAATAAATTTATTCTAAACTTACAGTTACTTTAAAAAATTGGTATGTAATGTGTACACGCGTATGCAATATATACATACATATCAATAATGACCTGATTTATAGTACATTTCTAGTCGGTATCCATTTCATCAGAGTTTTCAGATTTATCATCAGTCTCCAATTGTACAGCCTTTGAACCTGTCCTTTCGTCTTTATAATTTCCGAGTCGTTTCAAATAACTCATTGTGTATTGATTAAAATCACATCTATAACAATAGAAAAAAAATTTGTGATTCTTAGGGATACATTACTGATAAATTATACAAATAGGGATGCTGACATTTTACTTAAATCGTTATACTTCTTTTGCATATTTTTCTGCAGCATCAACAATATTGGCATTTGTAGTGCAGAATTTATTTTCGATCCATGTTTAGTCAATATAGTTTCTATCCAGAGAAGATAAAAATGTATGTGCCTTGTGAATTCCAATTCTAATGCTATAAATTTCAGTGCCCTTTCTACATAAATGTCAGATATAGCTGTTACTGTTAGATCAACTGAAACGAAATACATGTACAATAAATACACGTGAACTAAGTAAGCTTATCTTTTAAATTGTTTTAAACTTACTCTCTGAACATGGTATGTTTTCTATAACGCTCTTTATCAACACCTTCTCGTTCAATTTTAAAGCCATCATTAATGCTGAAAAAAGCTGTTACCAATACATTTCGCATTACTTAAAGGACAGTGAAAGCAATGTATTTATTATCAAACCTTTTGTGTATTCCTTTTCATTCAATGTAGTTTTCACAGTTGCCGGTGTAATACCTAACTCCAATTGAAATGGATCAAATGCCAAGCCAGCATCTAGCGAATATAATAATAATCCTTCCGTCGTTGCTGCAGCCCATGCTTGTCCTGTAAAACATAAATATAAGAAGCATCATTACATGTATCACTTGTGTTTAAAAACTAAAGTATATAATACAAATTTACCTGTTGGGGAGAATTGTAAACTATACACTCTAACTTCAGGTTTCGTATTTCTACCCGCCAAATCGCCACTTCTAACTCCCGGTAGTCGTATTGTTACGTTTCCACCTTCATGTACACCACGTTTTTCTACTAATGCTAAATTCCCAAACTCTGTTAAATTCCGTCTATTTACAGTGTCCTATGGAAAAATGAAATTGTATTAAAAAATTAGTGATTGAAAAAAGTATAGCATTAAATATATAAATTAAAACTGATATTAAGGATAACTTACATCTACCGCATCGAATGATCTATTTTGAGTTACTACAAATTTCTTTACAAGTATATATTCTTGTACATTATAAATACATATGTGTTTAGATTGCCCACCAGCTAATATACATGTACCATCGGCTGAGTAGCATAAAGTTCTAAAGGCCCTAAAAATTTGCACATACATTTAGGTTTAATGATATATACGCACATTCCATTCTGAAGGAAAAATACTTACTTGCCCTGAAGATTTTTCTTAGCTGTAATAAGATCAGTAGCAGACCTTCCACTTCCTAGATCATTCCTGCCTTCAATACTACCAACTTGAGTTGCTGTTTTACAATGGAAAAACGATATGTGCCCGTCTAACGTAGCTACTGCCACTTCTTCACCATTAGGTTTATAAGTAACATATAAACCGTCTGCAGTTAATTGTATCGTTTCGTGTGAGGAACCACTTTCGATTGCGTTCCATATTTTCAATGTTTTGTCCCACGATACAGAGGCTAACTCTGTACTTGCAGGACTTGGATTGAATGCTAAACTAACAACTGGTCCTTCATGTCCGCTTAATATCTAATACATGAGATGCATACACAATTAATTTTTAATTTTGTTGACACGTATCCAGTACGGAAATACTTAACATGTACGTACCTCCAAAAGCGTACCAAGTTTAACGCTCCATAAATAAATTTCGAAGAAGTCTTGACCTCCAGCTGCAATAAACTCGTCGCTTGAATCTAGGGCAACACAGGAGAATTGTACCGGTCGCGGCGAAGTGAGAGTTCGAAAATTCCTGTACCTCGCCAAATCGTACGCTCTAACAGTTCCATCAAGCGATGCAGAAACAATAAATTTTCTATTATGACTAAACGTGATTCCAGTTACCGTGGACGTGTGTTCACTGAACGTAATGGAACAGAATCCATTCATCGTGTTCCACAATTTTACTTTTCCATCATCACCTCCAGTAACAATGTATTGGCCATCTGGGCTATATGCTAAACAGTTTACGTTATTACTGTGACCTTGTTGCTTCATGGCATAAGTTTCACTTTGCCATTCCCAAACCAACAATTGTCCAGCTTTAGAGCACCCTAATGCAATCCAATCGCCAGTCGAATTTATGGCAATAGATGAAATACGTTGGTGTGATATTCTGAAAAAAAAAAATACATATGCAGATTCAGAAAAAAATCCTTGTACCTAATATGAATAGGCAGTACCTTAGAGAGTGAATCATGTTCACATCAGGCATTTCATACAAACAAAATGAACCACTACTAAATCCTACTACCAAAATATTAGTCTGTTGATGATATGCAGCTGCAGTAAGTGCTCCTCTTTCTTTTTCTCCTTTCTGAACGTCGGTAGATAAATAGTGGCGACACAATTTGACGTAACGCAATTTTTTCACTTCTGTTTCACTTTCAGCATCTGACTCGGCTGAATTTCCTGTAAAATATAAATCGCTTAAACAGATAATCGTTTAAACGAATTACCTAAGTGTTACATTTTTCAAAATATGACTACACGAATGGATTCTATAGAAAAAACTATGAAGAAAATGTACCAGTTTTTGATAAATTGTATTCATCAGCTTTGGCCACTTTGTTTGTTTTTTCTATAGCTTTCTCGAGATCAACGTCGTCTTCTTCATCGTTATCAGTTTTCTTCTCTTTCTTAGGTACAGACGGACCTAACAGCATTAGATCTTCTGGATCAATTGTACACTCCCATATGCACAGTTGTCCATTTCTTTATACAGGAAAACATGTTATTAAAATATTGTAAGAAACCTCTTACATGCTGTGCAATTAATACTATTTAAAAAGAAATACGTACCGACTAATTGTAATTAAATCATAATTCTTTTTTTCAAAAAAGCATGCTACAATTCCATCGGAGTGACCACCAAGATTAAGATACCTAAAGTTTGCATACTTCTCTAAGCAATAAATTTTAGTAGCCATATCTTTAGAACCAACAGCTAGTAATTTTGAATCATAAGACCAATTTACAACAGTTGTATCATCCATAGCTGTATGAAACACTCGTTCCATGATAAATGGATTATATTCACCTGTTTGTAATCCAGGGGCATTAAATATAAATACTGAAAATAATAGTTTTTATTGAGTGAATCTTTATAAAAACTGACCTAGCAAAAAAGTAAAATGATACAAATATATATATAAAGCATACCATTGTGATCTTTACATACTGCAAAATGTTTACCATCTGGAGAAAATTTTACTCGTCTGACACGTCGATTAAATTTATATTTATGTATTACCATTTTACTGATCATACTAATTATATGGGCTTCACCCGCTACAAGAAAATTTGTTAGATAAAATTATAACAAAACTGCATTAGTATTGCATTATTCCTACAAAGAAACAATATTCTCTTATACTAGAAATATGGATACCTTCATTAACAGCAATTAACAGTGCTCCATTAGGAGATAAATCTATTGTTGTAAAATTGTATCTACTTTCCACTGGCAATGTACATGATTTATTACTGAAAATATTGTTCAGAGAATTAGTTGGTATAAATCTGAAATGTAAAATGAATTACTTAACGTTAAATACCTACTTTTTCAAATCATATATTGTTATCCGATTTCCCACGGGACTAATAACTGACGATCCATCTGGAGAAAATATTAAATCTCCCTTACGATAAACTGCACCAAGCAAATTGCAAAACTATAAAAAATAAGTAATAAGTATTTTATAATAACGTAAATATAAGTATATGTAGTACAGGTTAGGAATTTTGTATACACAATTGTAATTTAAACTTTTTATGTAAAAAAAAGTTACTTAGAAATATTATTTTTACCTTGTATGCAAACCTCATCTTACTTTAACACGTAAAATGCGTACATAAGTAACTATATAATTTTTATAGCAGATAAATATTCTTTAACTTCCTAGAGCACGTTGAACACGACATTTGAATTAGGTATATTTCAGCCACTGCACAACTTCCGTTTCTGTTTAAAAAGATCCGGTCACGTGTTGATATTAAGGTGTTGGCTGACTCAAATTAATAAGTAGAAACTTTATTCCATCAAGTCTATCAATTAATCTTAATTAAGTAGTATCATAATTAAGATACTACAATAATTATAGCACAC